GCCAGAGCACAAGGTGGGTGGCTCCACAGGGAATTTTTGTGCATTGGCCCTTTAAGAGGGTGCCTGAACTTTCAGCTACCACTCCCTGGCAGACAGCACCCCGCTGCTTTCCACAGGTAGATGTTATGTGGGCACCCTCCTCAGATGTGGTCCTCTCTGCTGAGGAGCCCAGCTTGGGTATTAGATCCCAGAGTTCTCAGTGGCACCCCTCCCCCCTCCCCCCCCCCCCACACACACCCAGCTGAGATATCTCTCTGGGACTTCAGTTGCTGTCTGTGGGTGCCTGGCCAGCCCTTTCACGCCTCTGCCCTTCCTACCAGTCTCTATGCGTCTCCACCTTCAGTCCTTGGGTATCAGGGTTCTCTCAGGTGAGTTTTCTGTTGATTATTCAGGAATCCTTTCCGTATTTCAGTTGTAATTCCAGCTTGTTCTTGGGAGCATGTCTGTGCAGCATCCTCCTACTCTGCTGCCCTGTATAAATCTTGCTTCTTTGCTTTTCTGTAAACTTCACTCCAGTTTCTAACTGGAACCTTGCTCACCCTCCACCATCTTTTCTCTTAATTGTTCATGTCTGTATCTGCGTAGCAGTGTCAGAGTGGCCAGCCCACACCTGGGGGAGTACAGGACTCATGTATATTTGTTTGGTCTTTTTCCTACAGACTCCACTCATCTCCAAAGTTAAATAGTCAACACTCTCCCCTACACCTTCACTCCTGGGTTTCATGCATTTGTAGTGCACTTAGATTTTGGGGGCCATATTCTGCATTCAATTGGGTATCCCTTGACCTGCTAAATGATATTTTAAAAATTTGCAAACATTAAAGTTCATGCTGAAAACTTTTGTGGGATTTGACGAATGCGTGGCATTGTATACCACAATGACAGTGTCATACCGGATCGTTTCACCACCCAGATGTCCCCAGGTTTGACTAATCACCGCTTCTTCCCGGCAGCCACTGACCTTCCTGCCCTTGCTGTACCTTCCCTCTTCCTTTTTCCAGAATAATTGGAGTCACACAGAGTGCAGCCTTCCTCAGGAGGGCTTCTTTCACTTCGCAGTTGCAGTTAAGATTCCTCAATGTTTTTTCACGACTTGAGAGCTCACTTCTTTTTATCACGGAATACTACTCCATTCACCTATTGAAGGACAACTTGCTTCCAGTTTGGGGCAATTACAAATTAAAACTTCTGTAAACAGCCCTGGCCGGTGTGGCTCGGTGGATAGAGCATCGGCCTGTGGACTGAGGGGTCCCGGGTTCGATTCCAGTCAAGGGCATGTACCTTGGTTGCAGGCACATCCCCAGTAGGAGGTGTGCAGGAGGCAGCTGACCGATGTTTCTCTCTCATCGATGTTTCTAACTCTATATAGCCTCTCCCTTCCTTTGTGTAAAAAATCAATAAAATATATTAAAAAACACACACAAAACTTCCGTAAACATTTGTGTGCAGGTTTTATGTGGACAGAAGTTTTCATATCATTGGGGCGAATACCCAGGTGGTATGAAAAGACTGTTTAGCTTAGCAAGAAGTTGACAAACTGTATATTAGCGTGCCTGTGCCATTTGCAGTCCCGTCAGCAATGAGTGAGCTCCTGATGCTCACATCCTCTAAGCAGCGGTTCTCAACCTGTGGGTCGCGACCCCTTTGGTGGTCGAACGACCCTTTCACAGGGGTCACCTAAGACCATCCTGCATATCAGATATTTACATTACGATTCATAACAGTAGCAACATTACAGTTATGAAGTAGCAACGAAAATAATTTTATGGTTGGGTCACAACATGAGGAACTGTATTTAAAGGGCCAGAAGGTTGAGAACCACTGCTCTATAGCAATTGACAGTGTCAGTTTTGGATTTGTTTTTTGGCCACTCTAATGGGTATCTACTAGTATCTTGTTTCAGTGTGCAATTCCCTAGTGAAAAATGATGTCCAGCAGCTTTTCATACGCTTTTTTGTTATCTCTTTGTCTCCTGTCTAAAATTTATGTTCAGATGTTTTGCCTAAAATTTTAAATCCTCACTTAAGGATATGTTTCTTGAATTGAGAGAGAGAAGGGAGAGAGAGAGAAACATCCAAGGGAGCCTCCTGTCCATGCCCCGACTGAGGATGGAACCCACAACGTAGGCATTGCTCTGACCAAAAATTGAACCTACAACCTTTTGGTGTATGGATGACGCTCCAGCCAACTGAGCCACCCTTTCTGGGCTCTTTTGCTTATTTTTAATTGGATTGTTTGTTTTCTTATTATTGAATTTCAATAAATTTTTTGTACATTTAATACTAGTCCTTTATCAGATATGTGTTTGCAAATGGTTTTGCTCAGTTGGTGGCTGCTCTTGATTCTCTTAAGTGTCTTTTGCAGAACAATAGTTTTTGGTGTTGTCTCTAAAAAGTCATCACCAAACCCAAGGTCATCTAGATTTTCTCCTATATTTTCTTCCATGAGTTTTCTGGTTTTGTATTAGGTCTGTGATCCATTATGAACTAATATTTTTGGTGGAAGGTTTAGGTATTTGTCTTAATTTTGCCTGTTGGTTTGTTTTGCTTATGGATGTCCAGTTGTTCTTATTTGTTGAAGACTTATCCTTCTCCATTGAATTATCTTTGCTCCTTTGTCAAAGATCAGTTGATTGGATCTGTGTGGGTCTGTGTCTGACTCCTGTTCTGTTCCATTGACCTGTCAATGCTACACTGTCTTGATTGCTGTAGCTTTCTAGTAAATCTTGAAATTGTGTCATGTGAGTTTTTCAACTTTGTTCTTCTTCAGTATTGTGTTGGATCTTCTAGGTAATTACCTTTTTATATAAACCTTAGAATTAATTGTCAACATCTATAAAATAGCTGCTGGGATTTTTATTGGGATCACATTGAATCTATAGATCAATCAAGATGGGATGAATTGACATCTTAACATTATTGAATCTCCCATAAATATGGAATATCTATTTAGATCTTTGATTTTTAAAAATCAGAGTTTTGTAATTTTCTGCATGTAGATACTACTCATCTTTTGTTAGATTTCTACCTAATAAAAATGCCATTTGCATCCAGCTGGCGTGGCTCAGTGGTTGAGCATTAACCTATGAACCATGAGGTCAGGGCACATGCCTGGGTTGCAGGCTCAGGAGCAACCGATCAATGATTCTCTCTCATCATTGATGTTTCTGTCTCTCTCTCCCTCTCCCTTCCTCTCTGAAATGAATTAAAAAAATAATACCATTTGCTGTTGTCAGTGGTATTTCCACTTTTGTTTCAAATTCCAGTTGCTCATTGCTGAAATATAGGAAAGCAGCTGTCATATTAATGTTGTGTACTGCAGTCTTGTTATACTTGCTTATTAGTTCAGTAAGTTTTTTGTTGTTGTTGGTTCTTTGGGATTTTCCAAAAAAAAGACAAGCATGTCATCTGTGAACAAAGACAGTTTTATTTCCTCCTTCCCTATCTGTACACCTTTTGTTTCCTCCTCTTGTCTTATTTCACACAGTGTCGAAAATGCCACAAAGGCATTTAGCTTCTCATCAGTAAATATGATCTTTGTAGATATTCTTTGTCAAGTTAAAGAAGTTCTTGATTTTGTGGAGAGTTTTTAAAAAAATATGCAGAGATGTTGGATTTTGTCAAATGCTTTTTCTGCATGAATTGATGTGGTTATATGATTTTTCTTCGTTATCCTGTTGAAGTGGTGTATTACATTGATTGATTTTCAGATATTGAACCAGCCTTGCATACCTGGAGTAAGTTCCATTGCTCCTGGTGTATAATTCATTTTGTATGTTGTTGGATTCACATTGCTAATATTTTGTTGAGGATTTTTACATGGTAGATATTGGTTTGTAGTTTTCCTTTATATGGTTTTGGTACTAGGATAATGCTGGTCTTATTGAATGAAGTAGGAAATGTTCCCTCTGCTTTTTTTTTTTTTTTTTTTTCAAAAAAAAGATTGTGGAGATTATATTCATGAGTCCTTAACATTGAGTAGAATTCACCAGTGAAACCATCTAGACCTGGTGTTTTCTTTTTTGGCAGGTTATTCATTGACTCCATTTCTTTAATATAGACTTATTCAAATGATTTATTTCTCCTTGTGTGAATTTTGGCAATTCCATGTCATGTAAGTTATCAAATTTGTTGGCATGAAGTTGTTCATAGTATTTCCTTATTTTCCTGAGACCACACAGTGGACAGAGCTGGGGACTCTGCATGTGCACATGTACACACACATGTGTTTCCTAGTACATGTTTATGACAGACACATTCATGGACACGTTGTCCACATTTCTTTTTGTGCAAATCTACTATATGAAAGTGAGCGAACCTCCCGCTGTGCCCAGTATGTCCCGCTGCTGCCCAACACCCCAGTCTTCTTCCCACGTTCGCTTCTCCCTGCTCTCCCGCTGAGAACCCCACTCGCTGCATATCTGGCCCGTCCTGCTGCGGCTGCGCAGCTCCCATCCTGGCGCTGTCCCACCTCCCGCTGCCCACACGCCCCTGCCTGCAGCGCCCTCCATCTGTCCATTCCGTGGCTTTAGGGAAAGAGAGAAGAAGGGGTGCGTGGGTTTTTATAACAGTTATTCCTTAGGCTGCTCAGTTTCTGCCTCCTTCCTGGTTCGCTCCTGAATTACAGATTATTAAGGGCTTTTGAAAGCTGTGTGCAGGGTCAGGGGCTTCGACTTTTATTTATATATTTATTTATTTATTTATTCATTCCTCACCCGAGGACATCTTTTTAAATTGATTTTAGAGGGAGCAAAGGGGAGAGTGAGAAAGAAGGGAGGAAGCATCGACATGAGAAACTTCGATCGGTTGCCTTGGGTAATCGCCCCGACCCATCAGGGCTTGAACCTGCCTCCCGGGCATGTGCAGTGAGCAGGAGTGGAGCCTGCCACCTTTCAGGCAGGGACGCTGCTGCACCCGGGCAAGCGGCTTCTCAATGCAGAGCCTGGTCAGGGGGGGCTGCGTGGCGGTCAGTCCCCGCTCAGAGGGCGCCCTTTTCTTCCTTCGCAGGTCGCCTGGTGGGAGCCCTGGACGCGGTGCTGGACTCCAGCGCACGGGCGGCTCCGTTCCGGATCCTGCTCCAGGTGCCCGGGTCCCAGGTCTGCTCTCCGATCGCGTGCGGTGAGTGACCGGGCGGGTCCGATGTTGACGGGGCTGTGGCCGCGGGTGAGTTTTGTTCCGTGCGGAGCCTTCAGATCCTAAGGCCTGAGCCGGGGAGGAGCTGCAGGTGGTGCGGCTGGAAGGCAGCCCCTGAGCCCACCTCTTCTCTGAACTCTGTTCTGGTTCTTTAAGCATCAAACGCACATGGAGGCGGTAAGCTGGACAGCTGGCTGGACCCGCTCAGCTCTCCCGTGCCTTGCTGCTCGGGCTGCTGTGCTGGCGACTGGGAATTGAGCCATTTGCTTCTTAATCTGTGTCTAACATAAACCTGCTCTGGGCGCCTGCGTCTGCTGTGGTGGAACATCCGGGGCTGTGTCTGAGGGGGCGCGGCCTGCCCCGGCTCCACCGTGCACTGAGTCGATGGCTGCAGGCTGGTCTCACTTCCCATCCTGCCCACGAGGGCCCGCCTGTGCCCGCCTCCTGTGCCAGCGCCTGGGGCAGGGCATCATCACTTCTGAGAGGCCCCTTCTTCTAAAAACCAAAACCAAGAGGTGTCTTTTTAATTACACAGGCAATACATGTTCACCGTCCAGAATTAAAGCAGGTAGGAGAGGAGGAAAACCAAATCCTTTCCGGCCCTTTTTCCGTTGCGAGTCCTGTCCGCATTCTGCATGCGCGCAGTCTGGCTCTGCTCTTTCTCTGCTGGAGACCGTGGGCTTCAGCAGCACTCGCAGTCCTCAGCTGCCTTGGATACTTTCACTCAGAATAAATACAGAAAAGAGCAAGGAGAAGACTGTCATCCGTGTCTACCATCCAGCATGAACCCTGTTAACGCCTCGGGGTGTCATTTTTTCCAGTCTACTTTGTTTTGTTTTTTACTTTTATTTTTTATGTGTTTTTATTAATTTCAGAGAGAGCAAGGGAGAGTGAGAGAGGGATGGAAACATCAATGATGAGAATCATTGATCAGCTGCCTCCTGCACGTCCCCCACTGGGGATGTGCCCCATCTGGGAATCAAACTGTGACTTCCTGGTGATGGGTCAACCACTGAGCCACACTGGCCAGGCCATTTTGTTTTTAAATTAGGATAAGCCCATCTGTATTTGCATAAAATGATAAAAATGGTGCATGTTTAATGTAAAGATGTCGATTAACAGTGAAAAGTACAGAGAAGACAGGATCGCTGCCTCCCCCGCCCCCCCCCCCCCCCCCCCCCGGGGCGCCTGGCACCCTGGTCCCGCGCTGTGGGGAGAGGCCTCTGAAGCCAGCTTGCCCGGAGCTGTTCCTCATAAAAGCCTCACGTCTGCACTTGATTTCAATAAGAGAAGAGAAACTGCAAAGAAATGTTAACTTCCAATAAATGTTCCTTTAACACAGGAGCTTATTTTTAAAAGGTTCACTTAAGGTTAGGGGAGAGATTTTCGAAAGCTTTACAAGGTTAGACTTGTGGCTTTTTGAAACAGGGTTTCCATTTTGACTTGAGGCCCATTCTGAGGCTTTCTTCTCCTTCCTTTCTCATTGTGAAAGTTTCCTTCTTAATTTCACACTGTGAGTCCTGTTCTGTTCTCACCACCCTGCTTTCCACCAGTGTTTGGATCACTCCCCTATTTAAATTAATTTAATGCTTCTACTCAGGTGTGCTTTATTTTTAATTTTTGTCTTTTATTTAAAAATATATTTTTATTGATTTCAGAGAGGAGGGAGAGGGAGAGAGAGATAGAAACATCCATGATGAGAGAGAATCATGAATCGGCTGCCTCCCTCACGCCCCCACTGGGGATCGAGCCCACCATCCGGGCCTGTGCCCTGACCGGGAATCAAACTGCCACCTTTCTGTCCAGGGCAACGCTGCACACGGCCAGGGCGACAGGGGACTCTCAGTGGCACACGGCATTTACCCTGTAGCTGTGCCAGTTTACTCATCCGATCCTTTCTTAGCGACTTGTTTCTGATGTTTAAAGTATTTCAAAACCTGATACAAACGTCCAGACACTTAACTCGTCCAGGGCACTCGCAAGCCCCCCGTGCCTGCTCCATACCAGACGTGTGCTTGCTGTCAGCACTTTCAGTTGGTGTGAGGGCCCTCGTTGGTGTGAGGGCCCTCGGCCATGGGAAGGCAGACAGCAACCTGGAGTGGGCAGGTACAGGGGGGACAGGAACCAGGACAGCGAGGCAGGCAGGGCCGGGAGCACCGGAAGGGAAGTGCTGCATCAGGGATGTGTGATTAGAATGACCTCTGTCTCTGTCTCTCTGTCTCTGTCTCTCTGTCTCTGTCTCTCTCTGTCTCTCTCTGTGTCTCTGTCTCTCTCTGTCTCTCTGTGTCTTTCTCTGTCTCTGTCTGTCTCTCTCTCTCTCTCTGTCTCTCTCTCTGTGTCTTTCTCTGTCTCTCTCTGTCTCTCTATCTCTCTCTGTCTCTCTGTCTCTCTCTGTCTCTCTCTCTGTCTCTCTCTTGTGTCTTTCTCTGTCTCTCTCTGTCTCAGCTGTTCTCTGTCTTTCTCTGTCTCTCTCTGTCTCTCTGTCTCTCTGTCTCTCTCTCTGTCTCTCTCTGTGTCTTTCTCTGTCTCTCTCTGTCTCTCTTTCTCTGTCTCTCTGTCTCTCTCTCTCTTTGTCTCCCTCTCTCTGTCTTTCTCTGTCTCTCTCTCTGTCTCTCTGTCTCTCTCTGTCTCTCTCTGTCTCTCTGTCTCTCTGTCTCTCTCTCTGTCTCTCTCTTGTGTCTTTCTCTGTCTCTCTCTGTCTCACTTTCTCTGTCTTTCTCTGTCTCTCTGTCTCTCTGTCTCTCTCTGTCTCTCTCTCTCTCTGTGTGTGTCTTTCTCTGTCTCTGTCTCTCTTTCTCTGTCTCTCTGTCTCTGTCTCTCTGTCTCCCTCTCTCTCTGTCTCTCTGTCTCTCTCTGTCTCTCTGTCTCTGTCTCTCTGTCTCTCTTTCTCTGTCTCTCTGTCTCTCTCTATCTCCCTCTCTCTCTGTCTCTCTGTCTCTCTCTCTGTCTCTCTCTGTCTCTCTCTCTCTCCCTCTCTCTCTGTTTCTCTGTCTCTCTCTCTCTCTCTCTCTCTCTCTCTCTCTCTCTCTCTCTCTCTATTACCTGCCTGGGACTGCAGCGACTTCACTGCCCTGCCCCAGCAGTGTCATCCCTGGACCCGACTCAGGCAGGTGCTTCGCTGCCTCCTGCATCTCAAGCACAGCAGCCCCCGAGCAAGCGGTTCTTGTCTGGTCCGTCAGCTTTTCCTGCCAGGAAGAGGGCGGGCGGGCGGTGCGGGTATGTGCCCGGGCTTGTGGTATGGATTTAGGTACTTAGACCTCTTCTGGGAGTTATTTGGGCATCTTAACGCGGTGCTATTGACTCACCATATTTAATATTTTATGTCTTGAGCACCGAGAAAGGATCCCTGCCCAGGGTTTCACGTCTCAGATAAAGCAAATCCAGAAGGGCCGGCAGGGCCTGGGCGGCGCCGGGACGGGCGGGGCAGGAAGACGGCGCAGGGGTGAGGATGTCTGCAGCGGGTTGGCTGCTTGCATGGCAGTGGGGGGCATAGGGCCTTAGAACTGCTTTCTTGGGTGAACAGTGGCATTTGGCAGCAGCGACCTGTGGATGACTGAGGTTGGACATAGAGGAGAGATAAGTTGCTATTGTCATTATTTTCTAACTTATGTGGCCCAGACTCCCAGGCTTGGTCCCTGCTGGCTGCAGGAGTGGTGGGCATTGAGAGGTGGGTGGGGACGTGCCCTGTGTCTGCTCAGGCGACTGCCCGACACCCCGCAGCCGCTTCCTCTGTTCTCCCTCCGTCCCCCCCACTTCTGACCACTGTCATTTCCTTTATTCTTTGCTTCCCCCCAATACAAGATCTCTCAGAGCCGTGTTTGCACTGACCCTCTCATGCCGAGGACAGAGCCTGACATCCAGGGAGAGCAGAGGGCGGGCGAGGGTGGCATGTGGGGAGGTCAGCGCACAGGCAGGACTCTTCCTGCCTGGGGTCAGCAAGGGGACCTGTCCCGGGCCGGGGGTGGGGACAGGCGGAGCTTTGGGCTGAGCCACCAGGACCAGGGAGCAGTAGAAAAACTTCACCGTTTCTAGGAATATATCCTAAGAAACCTGAAACACCAATCAGAAGACTGTATGCACCCCTATGTTCATAGCAGCACAATTTACAATAGCTAAGATCTGGAAACAGCCCAAGTGCCCCCAAAAAACAGGCATCTTTGTTTTTTAAGCTGGGATTTTTATATCTTGTTGACAAAATGAAATTTTCATGCTTATGAAATGTCCCTCTGATTCTTCTCTCTCTGGTGTTGATATGGTTAAGCCAATGTCTTTGGTTAATGTTTGCAAAGTATAATTTTCCATATTCCTCCTTTATGTCTGTGTTGCTTTTTTAAAGAGTAATTTAACTATGTTTTTATTGATTTTGGAGAAAGAGGGAGAGGAATAGAGAGATAGAAGCACCCATTAGCTAATTCCTACATGTCCCCTACTGGGGATTAAGTGCGCAACCCGGGCATTTGCCCTGACCAGGATCGAACCGAACCAGTGACCTCTTGGTTCATAGGTGGACACTCAACCATTTAGGCCACCAGCTGGCTAATTGGTGCGTTAAACTTTAGATGTTTTCTTCCAAGAAACACATGGTGGGTTTTTGTTTTTTTTTATCCAGCCTGATAATCTTTTTCTTTTTCAAGTTTTTGGGTTGTTTTTTTTTCTTTAAAGTCCATTGATTGTTGCAAAAGCCCAGGGCATTTAACTAAGGAGAAAACAAATGTTCAACTGAGATCTGAGAACCCAGAGCAGTGAGCTGGCCACTGGACATTCTGGGGAGGGTGGGGGAGCGGGCAGGGGGGCTGTGGGGGAGCGGGCAGGGGGGCCGTGGGGGAGCGGGCAGGGGGGCGTGGGGGAGCGGGCAGGGGGGCCATGGGGCGTCTGGCACCGACAGCACAGGAGGAAGGTGAGACGCCTGGCAGTGCAGGGTTTCGTCAGCTGCTGTCTGAGGACATTGTTGAGCAGCTTGGCTTCCTTCAGGGTCGGTTTATCTC